CCAGACTTGCCCTCCAATTGTTCCTCGTTAAGGGATTTAAATTGTACTCATTCCAATTACAAGACCCAAAAGAGCCCTGTATCAGTATTTATTGTCACTACCTCCCCGAATCGGGATTGGGTAATTTGCGCGCCTGCTGCCTTCCTTGGATGTGGTAGCCGTTTCTCAGGCTCCCTCTCCGGAATCGAACCCTAATTCCCCGTTACCCGTTGAAACCATGGTAGGCCACTATCCTACCATCGAAAGTTGATAGGGCAGAAATTTGAATGAACCATCGCCGGCGCAAGGCCATGCGATTCGTTAAGTTATCATGAATCACCAAGGAGCCCGAAGGCATTGGTTTTTTATCTAATAAATACATCCCTTCCGGAGGTCGGGATTTTTAGCATGTATTAGCTCTAGAATTACCACGGTTATCCAAGTAGTAAGGTACTATCAAATAAACGATAACTGATTTAATGAGCCATTCGCAGTTTCACTGTATAGTTGCTTATACTTAGACATGCATGGCTTAATCTTTGAGACAAGCATATGACTACTGGCAGGATCAACCAGGTAACTACGGTCGCAGGTCCGACCCGTTAGGTTCAGCGGCAGCTGCCGCGTCCCCCAGCCGGGTGAAGCCTGGTCACCGAGCTCGGTACCCTTTTTGAAGGGGCAACCGAACCGGACAGTTTTTTTAGGTTGCTGAGAAGGGGCACCCGAGGGCACCCAAACTCCGAGCCATTCGTTAGGCAGGACCCGACCCGTTTCCGGCTCAGCCCCGTCCCGAACATGGCATCCTATTGCCTCGTCTGAATTCCTTCAGCACAGCTTCCGCGCAGTGAAGGTCGGAACCGGTTAGGGATCCGAACCAAACTAGGCATGGCTGGCTTCAGAGGAGTGTGATCCGGCACCAAACACATCAGGAGCTGAGCGAAAAGCTGAGCAACGACGGATAATGGTTCCGGCCTGACTCCGATTGACTGGTAGGTTGGAACTGTAGCCATTGGCTAGCAATCCACGTTTTCCAAGTCAGTGCCGGTTGCGGGTTGCAACCGGTTCTCGCTGGTCAGCGGGTTGGGGGTGTGAACCCCGACCCGTTGTCCGGTTAGAGAGTCACAAGTTGTCGGACTCCGGCACCTAGCATTGCTAAGCGCCAGAGCCGGCCTGTGGACTGTCAAGCTGGTGTTGGTTAAACAGTACCGAAAAGGGTGCTGCCAACTGCCTGGTCCCAGGCCAACAGCAGTGGGACACTGCCGCTGGGGTTGAGAAGGCTCAAAAGGATTAGGCTGAACTATAGCTGGCAACTGAGTACCAGCCAGAGGCTTCTTACACTTTGTCTCCTCCCTCCTCATAGATCCTGCCACCCCTCGTGTTGCCCAAAGTGCCCAGGTCGACGTGTTTACCGAAAATGCGCGTTTTGTTGCACCACTTTTTGGTGCGTGGTAAGCAAATGTGACCAACATGGAATTTTGTGTTGTTTTCCCAACCGATTCAGATTTCCAAGTCAGCCGACCCCCAACACAAACAACTTACCCTTGATGTGCCCCGGAAATCGATATTACGACC